TTTCTATAAACACCAATGTTTATCCTTACATCAAATTGTTTTTGGTGTAATCACGTGCTGTTTATAATCGAAACAAGCATTTCCTGAATTAAAAAAAATCACAATGATTTTCCATTATGATGCTTTTCCTGCAGTTTTAACTGGTTCAGCATGTATGATGTTATAATGTTATAATTTCACTTTTTTTCCTCCATGTTGCAAACAGACTACAGTGGGAATAAACATCACAATGGCTGGGAGCTTTATATATGATACATAAGCATGAAAATATAATGTACTGGTGTATTATTGCAGGATATTATAAAGGAGACGCAATGGAAGAGTAATATCAAGCCTTTTTATTGTTTCACCTCTGTTACCATTCTACAAAATGATATTGTGGAATCACCTGCTTTCACATGAAGCTGTTGGCAACATGTAAATGGATAACATTTCCTTGGACACAATGTCTCTATCAATGCTGCTCATTTTAATTTAACAGCCGAGGAGCTGCCTTGTGGTGAGTGTACCTAGTAGTCCTATAAAGACACCATTGTTGTCTTTCTACATGTACCAGTGAGCTACGACATGAATTTGATTGCTCATTCCTCTGTGGGTTTTTTGGCAATTCTCACTTTCTGCTGCCACAATAACAGTTCTGTTACAGCCGTGATCTCATATTAAACTTTCAGTGAAGAGGCTTGTCATCCCAGGCTGAGTCAGTTTTGCTCTCGTATGTCATCTGACGCTGATGAAAGCTGTTGAGTGAGTAGGGCAACCTCCACAGACAGTTAGTAGGCATATCCGGGGCTTTTAATGTATTACATTTTCTCTGTTCATCGTAAACTGATTTCGATACTTAACTGCATAGCATTGTGGGATTAAATTAGGTTAGCACCGGATAGTCATGATAAAAAGATCAGAGCAGTATGCCAAAGCTCAGATAATCATGTAATCCAAGCCTTTGACAGATTGTATTGAAATTGGGACATATGCTTCTTATTGCCTTAATGTTTTATTATTTATGTGACATAGTGCTGGATGGGTTAATTTTATTTATTGGTTTATTT